ATGTAGAAACTCAGCCCATGAGGCTAAGCGAAAAAGGGCCGGTAGCTCCACGGCGCGGGGCGGCCCTGCCAGGCGAGCGGCAGGGCGCACCCCGGGAAAGGCGAAGGCTCAGCGCCAGCGCCCGGGTGCTGAGCGGGTGCTCGGCCCCTACCGCACCTTGTCAGTGCCTTATTATAAACCTTATTTCAGTAGCCCAAACAGATGGGGTTTACCACGAGGGGAGACTGGGGGTGTCCATCATCCTCACTACTGTCAGGCTGTTTGTAATACACTTAATTACTCTGGCTCTTTCTCACATTTCTTTCCTGCAATAACTTTCATAAAGTTTTATAGCAGCTTATCCAAACCTAACAATGTTTCTCCACCTGATATTTTGCTTTAGCAATCCGTGCTGCCGTTGTGTGTCCCTGATAACCTTTCCATTTTCCTGCCGAGAAGCTTCGTGTTTTCTCCTTTCGGTGCGTCCTGGTGATTCTCCGAATCGCCGAGGTCCTCGCTCCTCACCCGCTCCTCCTCCTGGTGCTCCGGGGGCAGGTGCCCGTCAGCGCACACCATCTGCTCCCTGACACCGCGCCAAGAGGCCACGCAGAGCGAATCTGCATCGTCAGCTGTTAGTCGTGTTGTAAAGCACATTCCTAATTTTCTAACCATTATCGCTTCACCTTCTTCAGCATTAATTTCCTAGCCTTTTCACAAGAAAGACACAGACCTGTTGGAGCAGGTCCAGGAGAGGGCCACGAAAATGATCAGGGGGATGGAACACCTCTGCTGTGAAGAAAGGCTGAGAGAGTTGGGGCTGTTCAGCCTGGAGAAGAGAAGGCTTTGGGGAGACCTTCTTGCAGCCTATCGGTACTTCAAGGGGGCTTATAAAAAAGATGGGGACAGACTTTTGAGCAGGGCCTGTTGCGACAGGACAAGGGGGAATGGCTTGAAACTAAAAGAGGGGACATTCAGACTCGATATATGGAAGAAATTGTTTACGCTGAGGGTGGTGAAGCACTGGCCCAGGTTGCCCAGAGAGATGGTGGATGCCCCATCCCTGGAAACATTCCAGGTCAGGCTGGACGGGGCTCTGAGCAACCTGATCTAGTTGAGGATGTCCCTGCCCAGGGCAGGGGGGTTGGACTAGGTGGCCTTTAGAGGTCCCTTCCGACCCAAACTATTCTATGATTCTATGATTCACTGCCACTGCATTTATGTTTCAGATTATATTTTTGTTGCAAAATGAATTTACTTTTGCCAAAATGAGTCTTACTTTGCTATTTTCTATTTACATGTTTGATCTCTCAAGTCCCCTACCTTACTTTTCTTCCTGCAATGTATGATGCCTGTTAATTTCCCCCCACAGTTAACACAAATGCTGGGTAAAGTTCATCCCAAGCGACGGCTACACAGTGTTACGCTACCAGAATCCTCCGGTGGTCGCGCTGGCCTCTCCAGCTTCCCCTCTCCCGTGCTCGGGTATTTCTTTTTTTCTTCCTACAGCCCCCCCTGCTTTCGCGGGCTGCCTCTCTCACCTCTTCTCTCCCGTCTGTAGGCTAGAAGTAGGCAAAGATTCTACGTTATTAATCACAATGTTACGGTTACAGAACTACAATAGTCTAAGGGGAGCTATTTCCTTCTAATTACTGAAATTAAAATAAAATTTATAATTTCTTTTGGGGAGACAAGCAGATTGACAATGTACTTGTTCTGTCATCCATGGTGAGGTAAGGAAATAATGCGAGTGGAAAAGAAAATGATAGACAATAAAAAAAAAGTCCTCCATCGTACGAATTATCTTGGCGACAAGAACACTCTGCTCTCAAGAACGCCCTGGGAAGAGTTATTTTCTCTCAGGCAGGAGCCCAAAACTGATGGAATTCCCTGCTAATTTCATTACACCGTAGCTGGAGGACAAAGTGAAAACACCCAGGAACTAACTCTGTCTTAACCTCTAATTCCTTTTGATGTCCATGATGCTCTTCACTTCATGCCTGCTTCTCGAGTCAATCCAGATCTCAGCAGCTACAGAGTTAGGAAGGAAAAGCCCAGAACACTCCTTTCCCCACCCAAACCACAAGCTGATTGATTTTTTTCTCAGCAGTTAGCTGTGCCATTGATACAAACAGTCCTGCCACCAGGGTGGGAGGAGGCAATGATGCCTGGCAGTGCAATGAAACGCTTATTTGAATGCAAAGCCACTCAGGAAACCCATGTGGGGATTTCCAATTCAAATTCAAATTGAGATTCTGAATGTTCTTGGGTTGCAGAACAGAAAATTCCACCATGAATCATCAAATTAGTTCATAAGCAAATGCACACCAAAATCAGGAACACAGCTAACGAACCGCGCACTTGGCTGAATTTCTGCGTCCCGAGTGGCTACCTAGCTACACCCCAGGGTGGCCATGGGTGGACTGGACTGACTTCCATGTCCCGTGGCACTAGTTATGGCAGAGTGCAGCATTAGTTATGTTAGAGGTCAACACTAGTTGTGTCAGAGCCTTTACCTTTCTGTGGATCACTACAACCCCAGCGAGTGCCCTCTGCCTCCCGGCGCGCTCTCTGCCAGTGTAAACAACCTTTAGCTCTGCCTCTCACCTGCAAAATCAAATTCACAAATACAAAAGCCCGCTAGCCCCTGTGGGATGCCACCTGCAACAGATACACGGGACACGGTCCCAGACACCCTGCTGCAGGGGCGGCATTTTGTATTAATGCACTGCAGTAATGAATTTGCTTCCATTTTTGCAGGAAGTACTGGGTAGTTCCAAAGAAAAACCTGTGTGGTGAAAGAGGATGTCAAATATAAGCACAAGTGTTATGAAACATTATGGTGGCCCACCTGAGAAGACCCTTCTGGACTGTGATGTTCACATTAACCATACGGTCATGATCATACCATCCCGGTCACGTTCGTCTGTTTGAACGTTTGGTATATCTGAAGGCTGAGAAGGAAAACTGGAAGTGAAGCTCTGATCCTTTTGAAGTCACAAGGCCACTGACTGCAGCCAGAAAGTTCACCCAAGGCGGGAAATGCAGAAGGAGATGTGTATTGCCGGTTCTTAAAGAGCTCTGGGAAGGGGCAGAATATTCCCCCGCCGCTGGCATCTCCAGCTGCCGCCCAGGACCACGTTTCTGAACCTTCTGAACCTTATGGCCTCAAGTTGCGCCAGGGGAGGTTTAGATTGGACGTGAGGAAAAATGTCTTTACTGAAAGAGTGGTTAAACACTGGAAGAGGCTGCCCAGGGAAGTGGTGGAGTCACCATCCCTGGAAGTATTTAAAAGACGGGTAGATGAGGCGCTGAGGGACATGGTTTAGTGGGCATGGGGGTGTTGGGTTGACGGTTGGACTCGATGATCTTGGAGGTCTCTTCCAACCTTAATGATTCTATGATTCTATGATTCTCCTCAGGACAGACACTGCACTTTATGTCTCGCTTCTTCCCCATGAGGCAGAAAACCACTGTAACAGCAGCATGACGGTAATTGAAAGCGTGTTGCTTACAACACCGAGTGACAGCAGAAATACAGCAAATGAACTTGTTTGCAGCAGCGCTCACAAACCAGAACTGCGGTCGTGGCACGGTGAGTTCAATCAACATCTCCTTACCTTCTAAAATGTAAGTCACAACTAACATTAATTCACATATTTCCTCCATGGTTCATTTGGGAGAGGCGGGGAGTTACTCTCAGGGGCCCGGCAGGACCCTGCCGCCCTGACGGCATGCAGAGCCCCCGCTGCCCCCAACCGCCCACACTGCTTTCAGGCGCTTGTAATTCTGCTGACTTCGGAGGAACTACTTCTGATTTATGTCCAACTAATTTGGAGCAACATCGGGCTTCAAAACTTTGAGCCGTCAAATGCAAATGGACACAAACATTATTTTTTCCCCCTGCTATTCCGGAGCTAACGTCGGTTTTTCGGTTACTGGTAAAACCTGGCAAATTCAGAATGCCTTGTATTCACTGTCCAAATTTAGAATATTTTTATCCTGTTTCTGCTGGGCTGACAAGGCAAATGAAACATTTTTCTGGAAAACGCAGGTGGTTTGACACGATGGCTGCTGCCGCCTTTGCATCCCACTCAGGTCTGGATTACGCCTCGAATTTCCCTTTTGGAAGGCAGAAGCTAACGGCTGTCAAATGGACAAGGCAGGGAGCCCTGCAGCAGCAGCGGGTGTGCGGAGCCGAGGCAGCCTTTGCTGCGGCCCCTGGAGAAGAGCGGAGGTGTCCCACAGCTCCCACCAGCGCCCACAGCGCGACCCCAGCGTGGCCCACATACACGTGTCGTAGCCCAATGTTCTCTCCTATCTCACTTCTAATATGAAAAAAACCTAAAAATTTGTCTTGACCAATATGGTAAAAATATTGGTCAAAAGGTGGTCTTGACCAAACGAGTACTGTTTCCAATGTGGAGGTTTTTTCCCCATCCATGCTGCTTTCATGCTTTTTTTTTTTTTTTTTTTTTTTTTTGTTTTTTAAACTCCCCTCGCTGAGGATGGATTTCCTCCATTAAGAGGGCAGCAGTATTTGGCTGGAGGAGGCATTAGGTTGCCCTGAATAGATCCGTCAGAGCTATTGATTTGATTGCAGCGTCTGCATTTGCGTTGGCACTTAGGAACCTCTGCTTTAATGATCGATGCCCATTTGCTGCTTTGTTCTTGGGAGGTCACACACAGACCAACATCCAAAGGGGAAAAAAAAATAAAAATGAAGTGTTTCTTCACACGCTGCATATGCCAACCCTTTCTGCCCTGTGGGACTCCTCACAAGGTATCGGGGAAGCTAAAAATGTACCTGGGTTCAATAAGCAACAGGGGAAATTCTATGAAAATCTGTCCCGGAGGAGCGGGCACACAGACACCATCTCCAGTCGTTGCCCCAGGGCACAAGGGCTGGATGCTCTATCAGCATTTGGGAGAATTGTCACCAAATCCCGTTCCCCCTGCTCCTCCCTGCGTACGAGTATTCACCCCACGAGAGCACAGGGTGCCCGGCGGTGGGAACCACCGTGTCCTGCCCTGACATACGCGAGTCTCGCATAGATGCTTTTTTTCCCACATTTTATAACTCAAAATAGGTCGGAGTAGAAGTGGTGCCAGACCAACGCTCACCGAGGACTAAGATGGAGTTGCTCTGTGGGGACGCTGCACTGGACGTACATGTGCTAACTACCGGAAAGCATCACCAGGTCTGTATTTCTTCCAGTGCAACTGTGCTTAACCTCCCCTGTGAAGCAAAATTACGGTATCACCAATTGAATTTTTGACAGCCATCATGGTTTCTGAAATATTTTCTTTCCTGTAAAAAGTGCAGTGTCTTTTGTGCAAGTTCTCGCAAAGCTGCAGCCGGTGTCTCCACCAAGATTGAGAGGCTCAGGGCTGGACTGGAGAGATTAATAACCGAGTGTCTGCAGCAGCTTCTCTTGATTCCAGGTCAAGCCGTGGATGAAGAAGGTATAAGCAGGGTTATTAAATTTACAGACAATACCAAATGTAGAGGCAGTGCAAGAAGAGTGAGGACAAAACTAGAATTTAGTGTTTTGACGAACTGAAATAATAATTTGGAATTTTTAAAAAGGTACAATTCAATAAGAAGAAATTCAAAGTACCAGACCTGGGGAGGAATAATCACCTTCAAACCGACACAGTAAAAGGAAAGAAAAAGTGACTACAATAGTCCCATAAAAGAAAGACAGCACGGCACATACTTATAACTAACTCAAGTTTAGAGCAATAGTTCACCAAAATGCACAGGTAAAGCTGGCAAGTTGTAGGAAAATATGGCTGTGTTGATCAGAAAATGAAATCAATCTTCATTTCGGATAAACAGTTAAAGCAGAAATGCAGCAGACGCCTTTTTCTGTGGAGAATAAATGGCTATTAGCTGAAGACAAGCACTCAAGTAGTCTCTAAATTTCCCATCTGTGCTATTAGCAAACTAGCATTTTCCCCATTTTTCCGATAAAACAATTGTAAATCATGACAACAAAATGCTGTGGCTCTCAGAAGTTGTTACCGGGGCTGGAAAACATCTTCCCTCCCGCGGCCCAACCTGCAGGCTGCGGCTCAGCAAAGGGCACCAACCTGCCCGGTCCGTAAATAAACCCCGCTGCGCTGCCCGTGGGGAAGGGCAGCTGCCAGGCTCCCGGGAATGCACCCGCGGGAACAGTCCCACCAGCGGATAACCGGGAATCTAACTTCTTTTCCTGTTGCTCTCTTCCCTTTTCATCATAAAGAAGGTCCCAAAGATGGGATCCTGCTGGACGGGGACCCGGAGCAGCCCCCTGCCCTGCTCGCGGCTGCTCCTCCCGTGCCCCTGCCAGCCCCAGCACCCTCTGCTGCCGGGGGAGCAGCCGATTCATTCCTCGGTGATGGCTGGAAACACCCCTGCTTTCAGCTCACTCTTCTCTCCATGGAGAAAACAAGTCCTGGCAGAGGCAGAAAAAATAGAGGAAATAACTTAGTAAAGAAATACCTGGATTTTCCTTAGGAAAAAAAAGCCCCCAGAAGAAAGCAAAAAACCCCCAAACAAACAAACAAACTAAAAAAAACCAAAAGCCAACAAAGACCTTCCAGAGATTGTTCTTTCCCTGTTCCAAAGATGTGACGATAAGTAAAAAGAGAAAAAAAAAAAATTTACTATTTTGACCTGAATTGGTGAGGCCATTGGACTAAGTGATCATTGTAGGTCCCTTCCAACTGAACTATTCTACTCTACTCTACCCTACCCTACCCTACTCTACCCTACTCTACTCTACTCTTATGGTTTTTTATGGTTTCGGTTTCAGTGTGAAGACAAGCAACCTCGAGGAGACCCCGAGATGCAGGGAAGCACGCAGACAGTGAGAAGAGCCTGAGAGATGGTTATGGGACCTCTGGGACAAAACCAATGCAAAGAGCAAACACAAGAAATAGCGTAAGGAGGCGGTAACAGGATCTCTGCTCCTGGGGGAGGACGGGAGCCCTGAGCAGTGTGGCAGCGGTCACTGTGCTGCGTATTTTGCTTCCAGTAAATTAGTCTTAATTAAAGAAACCAAAATGTCCTACTGTCTGCTTTGTATTGTACTCTTTCCTGGAGTGAATGAGAGCGGTCTGCCCCATCCCAGTGTTTCAGCTTGTCTTGTCTCCTTCCACCACCAAATCTTGAAAAAAATACCGTAATTAAATCAACATGCTGCAGTGAAGACAGGAATGGAAAAAATAACTTCTTCTAGTATTAAAGCAAAAGCTCTTGCAGAGAATCAAATGAAAGGGGAAAAGCTAAGACAAACTGTCAGCATTCATACAGATTGCAACTGCAGCTATTGATTATTTTTATTTTTTTTAAAAGTGTGATCCACTTTTGAACAACTTCTGTCAGCAACATCAGCCTTCCCTTGCCCTGCTTCCTTCTTTTCAAACTCTGCAGGGTTAATTTGTATTCTGCTATTCACCAAACATCAGGAGACCTGGAAGGATATACCCTGTTGCACGGCTTTTGTTTTTAATGCTAGGTCGAGATGTCTCCAGGCTGGCAGTTAAAGAAGCGATCACAGTCTGATAGAGAGGGCTGTGCGTTCCTCCAGAACATTCCATCAAGTGGTACAGCATACGGCACCGCTGGGTAATGAATGAGAGAACCCCAAAACAGCATCTGCTTTCCTCCCATGTAATAGCACAGCTCCGAGCGCCGAGGTCAGTAACCGCCTCGAATTATCCCGGGGGCTTGACCCACGTGCAGGACACGGGGATTGCTGAGGGAGGCAGACGGCCGCCTGAATAGTTGATCGTTATTACACCCCATCCGCTAAATTAGGTCATACAATGAACAGCCTCTCGCAGGAAAAAGAAGGGGTATGTAGCCTCAATTTGCATGAGATTAAATATTACTGGAATATTTTAAAGCCATACTAAGAAGAGTGTATTACAAGGGCTTGTATTCCATTAAAGAAAGGAGGACCGCAAGTGACCTCCACAAATACCACCGATTTCTGTTACAACACGCCTAATACCCTTCAGCGGTTTGGGACTATCAGCCCACCGACGCCGAGGCGCCTTGAGCCCTTTGAGCAAAGAGTCTCCCGTCGCCCGACTCGTGTTGCCATGTCGAAGCCTGCCCTCAGTCCGCAGGCATTTCCCACGCCACTCATTTCCAAATGTGACTTTTGTATTTGGCCAAACAAAAACGCATTTGGTTCGCACAGGCCCCAGTTTCCCGAGTGAGCCGGGCTGTCCGGCACGAGTAACCTCGTCCTTGCCATTAGTTACTGTCCCACCGCTTTGGGTCACCCGTCCGGTTTTCCAGGCATGAGGTTACAACTATGCACCCGTTTGTGACAACAAAATAAATGTGGGAAGCTGGATTTGTTCCATTCTCCAGCAATGTTGAAGGTACGTACCCAAACTACACAGACGCACGTACATAACCGCCTATGAAATACGTACCTAAACAGGGTTTCTTCCAGCTCTCCAGTGTTGATTCCTGAACCGCATCCATCGGTATGATTTGGGGCAGGGAAAGGATGCCGCCAAGGGCAGGGCTTTGCAGCGGACGCTGCAGCAGCTCTGCGCAAGCCTGCGTGGGCCACGTGGAGGTCTACATGGATGGGCTGAGGCAGAGGGATGGGAATGTGGTTTTGAGGTTGGGATCAGCAAGTAAGGGAGTCCTTGTGAAAAAGATACACGTTCTTGATTCCGCTTACCCGCCACCAGCCCTCCATACCGAGGGCCTTAAGGATGTGCCTACGTTCTACCTGCTATTATTCCCAGTCTGAGCCGCCTCGATTCCCGAGGCGGGAATTTAAATTTAAATTAAAGGCTGAAATTTGTGTCCTCCGCAGCAACAAAACCTGTCCAATGTACAACAGCATCAGGCTGTGACGACTGTTATTTTTGATCTATCTGTCGTGCCT